GAATTAAAAGCATTATTTAAAATGAAAACCGAGGACATAGGGGGCACTACTGTGGGCACTACAACAACTTCCTTTAGATGAAGTTGTTATAGTGAGTATGGTGTTCCTTTAAAAATATCAAAAAGATCATTTTTTTTAAATATGGCCCCAACAAGAGAGACCAGTTCTACAACTTTTGAATTAAAGAGACACTGTAGGCACCCAGACCACTTGAGCTCATTGAAGTGGTCTGGGTGCTGTTACCCTTTTGCACTTAGTGCTGCAATGTAAAACATGGAACTGCAATGTTTACATTGCACCTCTAAGTCTGCCCCCAGTGACTGTCTACCAGGCAGCCATTAGAGGGCTTCCAGAATCCAAACAGACTTTTGGTCCATTATTTTACGCTGGACCTCCTCACGGACCACCAGCGTCAGATTTTTCCCATAGGAAAGCATTAAATAATAATGCTAGCACGTGGCCATTGCGTGGGCGGAGCCTGACCCAGCGCCGAGAGACATCGGCCCTGGATTCATGTAAGTGGCTGAAAGGGGTTTAACCCCTTCAGCCCCATGGGAGGGGGGGACCCGAGGGAGGGGGGACCTATTAAACCTATAGTGCCAGGAAAACGGCTTTGATTTCTTAGCATTATAGGATCCCTTTAACACTTTAAGGACGGCGGGTGTGCTATGCCGTCCTTGGGGACCCGGCTCTAAACGCTGGGGGGCGGCATAGCACGTCCCCGCCGTCCTATTTACTTACCCGGTCGCCGGCGATTGCGGTGGGGGGACTCACCTGGCATCCCAGGGAGTCCCCCTGATGGCGATCCGGCCCTCCTGGGCCATGTGAGGACCTCGCGATAACATGGACGGCATAGCCATCCACAGCAATGCCAGCAATGCCAACAGGTACTCCCCCTGCTGCTTAAAAAAAATAATAAAAGATTAAAACAGTTTAAAATAACATTATATATACTTAGATCATATATATATTTATTATATATATGATCTAAGTATATATATATATATATATATATATATATATATATATACACATACATACATATACATACACTGTCTAAGTGTATTTTAATATTTATATCAAAATACACATAGAATGATATAGATTAAATATATATATAATTATATACAGGTGATCAGTGGCATACATACCACCCTGTGACCCGGTATGTATGCCAGTATGGCCAGCCTCTTCTCCTGGGGGGCCCAGGAGCCGGCCACCTTAGGGCCCCCCAAAGGCTGGCCCTGCTGTCACTAGGCTGGCAGGGCGCGTGAGGGAGCACTGTCCACTGAGTGCTCTCTGCCCAGCTCCCTTGCGCACCGCAAAGAAACCAGAGCCGGAAGATGATGTCATCTTCCGGCTCCGGCATCAGTACACGGTGCGCGAGGAAGCTGAACAGGAAGCACTCAGGGGACAGTGCTCCCTCGCATGCCTGCCACCCAGCCAGACCACAGGACCGGCCGCCCAGGAGCACCACTGGACACCAGGGAATCCCCTCAGCACTCCCAAAGATAGGGAGGCTGGGGGATGCAATTTAAAAAAAAAAAAGTGTGTGTGTTAGAGTGTGTGTGTGTGTTAGTGTGTGTGTGTTAGTGTTAGAGTGTGTGTGTGTTAGTGTTAGAGTGTGTGTGTGTTAGAGTGTGTGTGTGTTAGAGTGTGTGTGTGTTAGTTTGTGTGCATCTGTTAGTGAGTGTGTGTTTTGTAAGTGAGTGTGTGTCTGTCTGTCAGTGAGTGTGTATGTATGTCTGTCAGTAAATGTGTGTGTCTGTTAGCTAGTGTGTATGCGTCTGTTCGTGAGAGTGTGTGTGTGTGTCTTAAGCACTTACCTTTCTCCAGCGCCGGACTCCCTTGGTGCTGGGGATCTCTCCGCCCCGATCCGCCTCTCAGCTCCGAATGCGCATGCATGGCAAGAGCCGCACGCGCATTCAAACCGCCCATAGGAAAGCATTACTCAATGCTTTCCTATGGACGTTCAGCGTCTTCCCACTGTGATTTTCACAGTGAGAATCGCAGAAGCTCCTCTAGAGGCTGTCAATGAGACAGCCACTAGAGGCTGCATTAACCTTCAGTGAAACATAGCAGTTTCTCTGAAACTGCTATGTTTTCAGCTGCAGGGTTAAAACTAGAGGGACCTGGCACCCAGACCACTTCATTGAGCTGATGTGATCTGGGTGTCTGTAGTGGTCCTTTAAGTATATGTGTATCTGCATGAACTGGCGTACATACCGCAGTGACCAGGTGCCCGCCGCCATGTGCAGAGTAAGCGCGTGGGGGGGGGCCCACGGATCAGTTTTCGCACTGGGGCCCTATGGATTGTGTGGACGCCACTGCAGGTGATACTCGGAAAATTAGAATATCGTGCAAAAGTTTGTTTATTTCAGTAATGCAACGTAAAAGGGGAAACTAATATATGAGATAGACGCATTACATGCAAAGCAAGATAGTTCAAGCCGAGATTTGTCATAAGTGCGATGATTATGGTTTATAACTCATGAAAACCCCAAATCCACAATCTCAGTAAATTAGAATATTGTGAAAAGGTCCCACTCTAATCAGCTAAGTAAGCCATAACACCTGCAAAAGGTTTCTGAGCCTTTAAATGGTCTCTCAGTCTGGTTCAGTAGGAATCACAATCATGGGGAAGACTGCTGACCTGACAGTTGTGCAGAAAACCACCATTGACACCCTCCATAAGGAGGGAAAGCCTCAAAAGGTAATTGCGAAGAAGTTGGATGTTCCCAAAGTGCTGTATCAAAGCACATTAATAGAAAGTTATGTGGAAGGGAAAAGTGTGGAAGAAAAAGGTGCACAAGCAGCAGGGATGACCGCAGCCTGAAGAGGATTGTCAGGAAAAGGCCATTCAAAAGTGTTGGGGACTTTCACAAGGAGAGGACTGAGGCTGGAGTCAGTGCATCAAAAGCCACCACACACAGACGGATCCTGGACATGGGCTTCAGATGTCGTATTTCTCCTGTCAAGCGGCTCATGAAGAAGAAACAATGTCAGAAGCATCTTACCTGAGCTAAAGAAAAAAAGACCTGGTCTGTTGCTCAGTGGTCCAAAGTCCTCTTTTCTGATGAGAGCAACTTTTGCATCTCATTTGGAAACCAAGGACCCAAAGTCTGGAGGAAGAATGGAGAGGCACACACTGCAAGATGCTTGAAGTCCAGTGCGAAGTTTCCACAGTCTGTATTGATTTGGGGAGCCATGTCATCTGCTGGTGTTGGTCCACTGTGCTTACTTAAGTCCAGGGTCAACGCAGCCATCTACCAGGAGATTTTGGAGCACTTCATGCTGCCTTCCGCAGACGAGCTTTATGGGGATGCTGATTACATTTTCCAGTAGGACACCTGCCACACTGCCAAAAGCACCAAAACCTGGTTCAATGACCGTTGGATTACTGTGCTTGATTGGCCAGCAAACTCGCCTGACCTGAACCCCATAGAGAATCTATGGGGCATTGCCAAGAGAAAGATGAGAGACATGAGACTGAACAATCCAGAAGAGCTGAAGGCCGCTATTGAAGCATCCTGGTCTTCCATAACACCTCGGCAGTGCCACAGGCTGATAGCTTCCATGTCACGCCGCATTGAGGCAGTAATTGCTGCAAAAGTGGCCCAAACCAAGTACTGAGTCCATATGCATGCTTATACTTTTCAGAGGTCCGATATTGTTCTATGTACACTCCTTGTTTTATTGATTGGATGTAATATTCTAATTTACTGAGATTGTGGATTTGGGGTTTTCATGAGCTGTAAGCCATAATCATTGCACTTATGACAAATCACGGCTTGAACTATCTTGCTTTGCATGTAATGCGTCTATCTCATATATTAGTTTCCTCTTTTACATTGCATTACTGAAATAAATGAACTTTTGCACGATATTCTAATTTTCCGAGTATCACCTGTATATTTATATATAAAATAAATATATATGTATATAGGTAAAAAATGTTTAAAAATAAATAAATAAATAATATATATATATATATGTGTAATTTCATTCTAACTGTATTTTAAAATATATATATATATATATATATATATATTGATATCAAAATACATGTAGAACAAAATAATATATATATATCTATATACATAAGTATATATGTATATATCACTATATATATACCTATATATAAATAAACATAATAAAAAAATGATATATATATATTTATATATATATATATATATATATATATATATATATACACATGTATATATATATAATAATTCTATGTATATATTTATGTAATAATTTTACATAATTAGGTCATTTTATTAATTCCAATTTACGGGATCTGCCTGACAACCCAGGCCAAAAGTCCAGGGAATTTAATTTGCTAGCACTATATTTAACCCTGTAACTTTCCAAAACACGATAAAACTTGTACATGGGGGGGTACTGTTTTACTCAGAAGACTTCGCTAAACACAAATATTAGTGTTTCAAAACAGTAAACTGTATTACAACGATGATATCGCCAGTAAAAGTGAAATTTTTTGCATTTTTCACACACAAATGGCACTTACACGGACGATATAATTGTTGTGATACATTTTACTATTTTGAAACACTAATATTTGTGTTCAGCGAAGTCTCCCGAGTATAACAGTACCCCTCATGTACAGGTTTTATGGTGTTTTCAAAAGTTACAGAGTCAAATATAAGGCTTGGTCTCCAGTTTTTCTTTTTTTTTTATATTTATTTATTTATATTTTATTGTAGCATATAGAAACCATACAAACTGTGAAAGGCATATCATGCTACATCAATAACAGCTACACAAGTCAAGTGATATCAAGTGATATATAAAATACAATGGTGTGAGGCTGTTATAAGTCTAGTTCTTTTCATTTTAACATTGCACATTTTATTATGAGTATCCTATACTCTAAAGTAGTTTGCTTACAATGGGGGAGGGGGGGAAAGAGGAATGGTGATTCGCAGGTGAGAGCAATTATGGAGGAACATTGATTAGCAAGAACTAAAGACACTCTATAATAGTGGTGTGAGCGTCCGACAGTTGGTTAGAACTGTCCCTGTACTGGAGACGAGTCTCATGTGCCGACCAGGTTTGACCCCGCTGCCGCGGTTCTGGCTTTCAGGTAGAAGGGTCGGACATTTCTCACATCCCACATCTGGGTCGATGGTTGGGGGTCCGCACCTGGAGTGTTTGCCAGTAGGGCCTCTGGGGTAAACAGTCCCAGTGTCCTGAAGAGTTTCCCCGCATCCGATTGGTGCTGCAGCTGGACTCTCTTCGTCGTGGAGCACAGTAAGCTTGCAGCCAGGACCCCAGCGGTATACCACTTCGTGATGCCTCAAGTGCTGGGTTACTGGACGGAGGGATTGCCACCAGAACATGGTGGATCGCGTCAGGTTGTTAAAGAAGGTAAGGTCTCCTCCTTCGATATGGTGTGAAGGAGCGTCGCGGGTGGCTGCTTGTACCATCTGCTTACTGCGCATTGATTGAAATCCTTTTAGCATGTCCCTGGGAGACCCGTCCGGGGCCTTAGCCGGCTTTGGGATCCTGAAGTAGTTGTCCAGCGGGATCGCTTTAGCTTTGGATGGTGTGAGTATGCTGCTTAGCAGGCGGCAGAGGTATTGAGGGATTTCAGAGTCCATAACCTCCTCAGGAACACCCCAAATCTTGAGGTTGTGTTGTCTCTTGGAGTCTTCCAGCACTGGTATTCTGCCCTCCATGAGAAGGTTAGCGTGCTTGAGCTTGTCCAGCTCGGACTGAACATCCAAATGTCACCAGAGTCTTCCAGCAATTGCAGTCAAGCAGTGATTACCCCCAAGTCCTTCCGGACCAGTGAAATGTCTGCAGTAAATAGGGTTTTCATTTCCCTAAGCAGGTTTTGTATATCAGCTTTGCTCGCTGGCGTTTGTTCCAGGCTGAGGGTAGATCTTGCCTGTCGCCCTTCAGGTGGGTGCTGAGGATCAAGGTGAGCCCTTGTTGTACCCTGTGTGTAGGGGTGTGAGACGGCTTCTGTTTCACTTTCTTCCAAACCGCTGGCGATGTCCCCTCTCACGGGCGCCATTTTGGTAGGCCGTGGCTGCTGAATCACCCCGAGCAGAGTGCCGATATTTTGGGAGGAGGGGGTCATATCGATTCTCCTTTGTTTGGTTTTCTTCCCCATAGTGTCTGGCTGTCTTTTGGGTGGTAGTCGGGCAATTTCTTCCGATTTATCGCTGTTATTATCAGTGTTCTCGCCGGAACTCTAAGCATGTGCGTCTGCCTTGTTTGCTGGCTAGCTCCACCCCCCGCGTTCCAGTTTTTCATATTGAAATTCGCCAGATTGGTTACGTTGCCTTTGAGACAGTTACATTGCCTTTGAGCCCAGGAATGAAAATTATATATTTTATTCATATTCAATTATGTTTCATACCTAAATATTTGATGTTAAATGAAAGCCCTGTTTCCCCTGAATAAAATGATATATAATAAGTGTGGGTGCACATAATATGAAAGAGGCGAATTACGCCTGAACAGACATATAGCGCAAATTCAAGTTTTGGTTTGATCACAGCGTGTATATTTGGCTCATTTCTTAAGGGGTTAACCTTCCCTGAAGATTACATTGCAATTTATTGTCACTTTACTCAAATATTTTATTAATACATAATTTCCCTATTCTAGAACCTGTTAGGTATTTTTAACAAATCTGATGGATTTCAGTCTTTCTTGAGATGTCTATTATTGATTAGGAGAACAACGAACCTCGAGCAATGCATCTGTGTTACTACTGCAGAGAGGGAAATGACATATTTTTATTTAATGTTTTTTAAAAATTCTAGCTTCTGTAGGTTACAAAACAACAGACATTGACATTGCCCAATGGCAGAAAAATTACAAAGAAGCAACAAGAAGCACATCACTTAAGATAGACAGAACAGAAACATAGAAACATAGAAACATAGAATGTGACGGCAGATAAGAACCATTCGGCCCATCTAGTCTGCCCAATTTTCTAAATACTTTCATTAGTCCCTAGCCCTATCTTATATTTAGGATAGCCTTATGCCTATCCCACGCATGCTTAAACTCCTTCACTGTGTTAACCTCTACCACTTCAGCTGGAAGGCTATTCCATGCATCCACTACCCTCTCAGTAAAGTAATATTTCCTGAAATTATTTTTAAACCTTTGCCCCTCTAATTTAAGACTATGTCCTCTTGTTGTGGTAGTTTTTCTTCTTTTAAATATAGTCTCCTCCTTTACTGTGTTTAACAGACAATATAAATCTCGACATCATACTGGTGAATCGATTGTTATAAACAAAAATAATAATAAGTGATCCAAACCTTTAATCGCCAACTGAAAATAAAATAAATTCATGCTTTTTCGTAAAAAAAAAGACTTGAACGTTGTGTTATTGTCTCTAAATTTTTCATTTACTGTCGTTCTTTACTTTAAATTGCGATGATTATTTCTAATTAACAATACTGTTCAATGTGTCTTTTTTTTCTGTTTTGTTTGCTTAGATAAAAAAGAGTAAATTATTAAATCATTTTCTAGGTTGCTATGGCGTTTTTTGATATACCTTTTTTTTCCTAGAGAGGAAAACTGAAAATCAAGGTCACATTGTAAATGAAATGCAAAGCATCACTTATATGAACTGCGCCTTAAAATATTCATGTCTATAGAAAGAGTTTATGGCCCTTGGACCGATGGAATGTATGTTTGTCCATTACATAGAGTATAGACCTTTTTTCTTTGATTGAATGGAAAATATGAATCTCCATGACCTTAACAGCAATAACTACAAAGTATATCAGTTCTTGAAGTTAATGGAAATAAATGTGTTTAGCGTATAGCCTGAAAACAGTGTTTTGAGTGGAAAAGACCGGCTGATGCATCATAATCGTCATAATTACATTGGAACCTCAAGATGATAGGAACCAGATACATCACCATTTATAGTAACCATCGTTTCATTGTTTTTGGATAAGCGTTTCAAATGATCACAATTTGTTAGAAAAACCTTGCAAATGGTTGATTTACAGAAATCACCATTAAAGTCTCAGGGGATATTTGTAGATAAACGATTGGAAATGTTTTTTTCTAACAGATTGCAAACATTTGAAAAACAAACCCGAAAGCATTGAATCCAGATTTGCATAAAAACCAAGATTCTCAGATTCGAATGATCTCATGGAAAAGCATGATGTAAGTCCAAAATTCTTATAATTCAAGTCTTCGACATCAATATTTTGCTTTTCCAAAATAAAAATAAAAATCTTGGACCCATCGTTCTGCTTGCCAAATGTTACCAATAGTTGCAGAGGACCTTATCCTTTAAGCCCTAGTATATCTAATTGCTTGGCACGAATTGCAAATGCAGATCTCAAGCAGGTCAGAAGATTACCATGCACAACTGTAGATAGAATGGGAACTATTAAATTTAGATTACTGTAATCATTAGCAGACAAGTAAAAATACATAACTTTCCTTTAAGGGGGCATTATAGGCACCCAGAACCCTTCATCTCAATGATGTGGTCTGAGTGTCATGTCCACTTGGTTTAACCCTGCAACTAAAAACACTGCAATTCTTTAGGAACAACGTTGTTTACATTGCAGGGTTTAAATGCCTCTAGTGTCTGTTATACTGACAACCACAAGAGGCATTTCCACAGAAATAGCCGACTAAAACTCACCTATTTTAGTCACTTGGCCTTATAGAGTGCTGGGTTTTGTTGTGCTGGGTTTTGTTGTTTCCAATGGAAAAGCATTGGATTGGCTGAGATCATTAAGATTGATGATCTTAGACAAGGAGGCGGGGACACTGCTGTGCCTAGATTACAGGAATGTTAGGAGTACATATTTGCAGGGCCGGACTGGCCCACCAGGATACCGGGACCTGGGGGCTGCACTGCCACATAGGTGCCACCGGGTGGCCGGTCCGGTGGCACACTGAGAGGGGGCCAGCTGCGTTCCAGACTCCTGTGCTGGGAATTGTGGGAACCACGAGGGAGCATGGCAGACAGACTCCTCCTCCTTCAGCCATCAGTGACACCAGTGCCGCCGGACCGGCGAAGCTGCCACCTGGCCCAGCGGCTCCAGTCTGGAACGCGGCCAGCCCCCCTGCCTTCTCTAAGGTAAATTGGGGGGAATGGTGAGGGAATAGAGAGAGGGGTGGAGGGAGAGAGAGGGAGAGACAGGAAAGGGGGTAGGGAGGGGGAGGTGAGAGACACAGGGAGAGGGGGTAGGGAGGAGAGGGGAGAGACACAGGAAAGGGGGAGGGAGGGGGAGAGACACAGACACAGGGAAAGGGGGTAGGGAGGGAGAGGGAGACACACAAGGGGGTAGGAGGGAGAGGAGGAGACACAGGAAGGGGGGGAGGGGGGGAGGGAGAAGAAAGGGGGGAGGGAGAGAGATGGGGGGAGGAGAGGAAGGGGGAGGGAGATGATGGGAAAGGCAAGAGAGATGGGGAGAGGGGAGAGACACAGGGAAGGGGGGGAGAGATGGGTTGAGGGAGAGAGATGGGGAGAGGGGAGAGACACAGGGAAAGGGGGGAGAGATGGGTTGGAGGGAGAGATACAGGGAAAGGGGGGAGGGAGAGAGATGGGGAGGAGGGAGAGACACAGGGAAAGGGGGTGAAAGAGGCAGTCCAAGATTTATGGATTACTCTGGTGTGTCTAAGGTGTTTAAAAAAAAAACAGTTTTTCTTCTTTTTCTGAACATTATAGAAACACCTGGATAATCCCCAAATCCTGGACTGTTAGGTGTGCCCTGAGGAGAGGGTTGAGGAGCACTGCTCCCCCCCCCAAAATCCTAATTTCCCTCCCACCTCTCACTACCTCAGTCTTTATCTCTACTTTTTCCATTTGCTATCATACATAATTTTATGTATTTTTCTATTAAACTTAACTTTTATTTCAAATCAGTTAGCCTTGTCTCATGATAGCAAATATTTTTGCATTTTTGTTCTTTATTTGTAAAAAAAAAAAACGAAAAAGATAACGTCAAAAGTCTTGATACCGCTATGGCTGTAACTATATCTCCACTCTCCATTGATAGCACAGCTGGATCGATTCCTGCTTTGTAAATGGTTATGACTCAATCTCAATAAACTACATGATCTGAAGAACGGAAACATGGTTAAAGAAATGCATTTTTAGCAACTCTTGGAAAAAAAAAAGTAGAATCTACAATTTGGCAAACAAAAGGTTAAAAACCATTAAACACCGTTTCAGACTGGACTCGATCAACTCGACCACAGTTATGTTCTGCTGTTCATTATCAGACTACTACGTACACACATAATTATTTTCCACATGATCATTGCAACCTAAATATGTCAAAAACATTGTTACAGATGACTTATCAAATCCCTAAAGAGCAATAAAAATATACATTTTACATTTATGGTGAAGCAGGCGTCATTAAACATTTAATGAATTGATTTGTTCACATTAAATATAGATACTACAACGCCAGGTGCAATAATCCTTAGCTGTGCACACCAGCGAGATTCTCCGAGCTAAATACATAAAGATTTCAAAATGTTATCGCAGCAATTCACATAAAGGATTTAGCACAGTCCTAAAAAAATCAATGACTGATAAGTTGATACTGCACTTGTATAACATTGTAAGTCCAGTTATCAATAAAGACAC